ATCGATTAATCAAGTAAATTTCTGGATTTTATTCTTTCTCATTGAAGTAAGTGCATGAATTCTTATATTATATATATGAATATTGTGATTATGACTATGGGTAATCAAAACTCGATGACTAGGGTTGCGGGAACCATCGGTGAATAATAAGGTAAAATCTAACTAAAATAACAATTCTAGAATAGTGTCTTGCATGTATTGACAATTCTTTCGCTTAGAAGTCTTTTTAACGGATGGCCAACTTTAGAACTCGCCTTAATGCTACTTGCTAGTCTAAGGAGTTAGATAATAGGAAAATAATTATCAACATAGATTTAGTGTACACTATATAATAGACTAGTATTGGTTGGTACGAAGTAATAACTTAGTCAAATATCGATTACGATACTTAATATGAGGTAAAGGTATGGGTTAGTATAACAACACACGTAGCCAGACCAAGATGCGGAGTGAAATTTTCTAGATGCCAGACCAAGAATTTAGATATATATAACTTATCACTTTGCATGCAAGATACTAGGAAAGAATTGTTATAGTTAGAATTATCAAATTAGAAACCTGTGGGGAACACCTAAATCATAGTTACTTTTATTAATTGATTAAACTCCAAAATTTGAATATATTAATTGTCTATATTAATTAGTTAGTTATCTTTAGTAATTTATAAATAAAACCCCCCTTTTATTGTCTTTGTTTTCTAAGGAAATAATTGACTAAATAATATTAATAATAGATTGAAGTTAAGTCTGAACCATTTTCCTCGTGGGAACGACCCCAACCTCATTTAGTTGGGTTTTTTACTTGATACGACCGCTTTTCTTCTTATTTGAGAAGTAAGTTTGAGCATATCAGCTATGCACTTTTGAAGTCTTGATTGACAAGAAATCGCTCCCCCTCGAAAAGTGATCACATAGCCAGAAGTGGATTTTGAATATTCAAGATTTCCTCCAAAATCATAGTACGTGTAGCATACTAGTTCATACTTGCCACTACCAAAGCACAACTCCTTATCTAACATACCCTTCAAATAGCGTAGTATCCATTTCACTACACCCCAATGTTCTTTTCCAATATTGTAAAGAAATCTGTCAGCGGTACCAATAGCATGTGCAATATCTGGTCTAGTGCAAATCATAACATACATCAAACTACCAACCGCGGAAGAATATGGAATACTCGACATCTCATTCTTTTCTTCACTAGTCGATGGACTTTAAGTCATACTCAACTTTAAGTGTTTAGAAAGAGGTGTACTAACCACTTTTGTCTCTGTCATGTTCAACCTCTTGAGTATTTTATTGATATACTCCTTTTGGGATAGCGATAACTTCTTCTTGTGTCTATCTCGATGGATTTGTATGCCTAAGATCTTTTTGCTGGCCCCAAGTCCTTCATTGCAAACCAATTTCTTAACTCTTTCTTAAGGACTGCAATTCTAGATTAATTTTTGCCAACAATCAACATATCATCCACATAAAGTAGTAAGATAATAAAATCATCATCAGAGAACTTCTGAAAGAATACACAATGATCTGAAGAAGTTTTCTTGTATCCCTGATTTTCAATGACAAATTCAAACTTTAAGTACCACTGACTTGGAGCTTGTTTCAAGCCATAGAAACTCTTTCTCAATTTGAAAACATGGTTTTCTTTCCCATTAACTACAAAACCTTCAGGTTACTCCATGTAGATTTCCACTTCTAAATCACCATGAAGAAAGGCAGTCTTGACATCCATATGCTCAACCTCTAAATATAGACTTGCGGCTAAGTCTAGAACCATACGAATAGAGGACATTTTCACAACATGAGAGAAAATTTCATCAAAGTCAATCCCCTTTGTTTGACCAAAACCTTTGACGACTAACCTAGACTTGTATCTAGGTGCAAATGTATGTTGATCTTGCTTTAATCTAAATATCCATTTATTTGATAAAGCTTTCTTACCTTTCAGTTACTTCACTAGCTCATATGTGCCATTCTCGTGAAGTGACTTCCTCTCGTCTTCCATGGCTTCTACCCACCTATCTCTATGAGTATCTAGTATGACTTCATCATTTTTTGCAGGTTTTCCCATGTCAGTCAAGAGGATATACTCATTAGGAGAATAATGTGTTGAGCTTTACTTTTCTCTAGTAGATCTTCTACAAGAGGTTTCTAGAGCATCCGAAGCGGTTATCCCAACATGAGTTGGTTGATTATCAACCACAACATCATCAATAGGAACAATTATATGTTCTACGCTCTCATCATTTTCTTGATCATTACCTTGGGTTCCCTCATATGCAGAAGATGTATCAATAATAGAAATTAGATCAACATCAACTAAGATCTCATCAGTATGAGAATCTAGTTTCTCAGTCTTGGCAATATCTTCAATAGTTTTATCTTCAAAGAACACAATATCACGACTTCTAATGAGTTTTTTTATCTATTTGATCATAAAAGAGATATCCAAACTCATCTTGACTATAACCAATGAAGATGCATTGCTTACTTTTAACATCCAATTTTGACCTCTCATCTTTTAGAACATGCACACTAGCTTTACACCCAAACACTTTCAAGTGATCATAAGAAACATCCTTATCAAACCAAACTCTGTTTGGAACATCACCATCCAAAGCAACAACCGGAGACAAATTTATAACATAAGCAACAGTGTTAAGTGCTTCAGCCCAAAAAGAATTTGGAAGTTTAGACTCTAAAAGCACACATCTAACTATCTCAACTAAAGTTCTGTTCATCCTCTCTGCCAAACTATTTAATTGAGAAGTCTTTGGAGGAGTCTTCTGATGACGAATTTCTTGCAATCTGAAGTAGTCATCAAAGGGACTAATATGCTCACCACCATTATCAGTGCGAATATATTTTAATTTCTTTCCCGTTTGTCTCTCAGATAAGGCTTGAAACTGTTTAAACACATCAAGCACTTGATCTATGGATTTCAAAGTATATACCCAAATCTTTCAAGAATGATCATCAATGAAAGTAGCAAAGTAAAGTGCATCACCTTTTGACTTCATTTTGAAATGACCACACATATCTGAATGTACTAGATCCAATACCTCAGACTTTATTGAAGGAGGATGACTGTGAAAAGAAACTCTTTTCTGTTTCTCTACTAAGCAATGAACACATCTTTTACCTTTGTTTGTTTCATACCAGCAAGCAAATTCTTCTTGGCAAAATAGGTGATTCCCCTCTTGCTCAAATGACTAAGCCTCTTGTGCCACAATTAAGATAAAGTCTCGCTCTCCACCAAATTTATAGTCACCAAGAATCGATCCTTGGGTCACGTATAACTTTGAATTATTTCTTCATCAGGCTAAAATCACTGAGCCTTTGGTGAGCTTCCATTGGCCATTGCACAAGTCATTATGATAGCCATCATCATCTAGTTGTCCTACTGAGATCAAATTTAAGGGAATGTCTAGAGCATGCTTGACATTCTGAAAGACGAACATTGAATCGGTATTGGTTTTCAAAATAACAGTGCCAACACCAAACACCTTCACATCACGAGCATTACCCATCTATAACACCTCAGAGTTAACGGAATTATAAGATGACAATAAGTCTTTTATTGGTGTGACATGTGATGTAGCTCCAGAATCTACTATCCAACTTGTATCTTGAGATATAAAATTGATGACGTCTTTATCACAAGCAAAGAGAAGGTCATCTTGGACAACAATAACAACATTATTTTCATTGTTTTCGTCCTTCTTCCCTTCTTTAAGATCTTGCTTCAATTGTTTACAAAATCTTTTAATATGTCCTTTCTTTCCACAATGATAACATATAATATTTGGATTCTTGAATTTTGACTTGCTTCTACTTTTACCTCTACTCCTCGGATCTCTTGTCTTATGTCTCCCTCGATCTTCTATATATAAAACATAGGAATGTGAAGATGTGTCTTGAGATTTTGTTCTAAGCTCTTTATTCAACACACCACTCTTTGCATTTTCCATAGTCACCTCTCCACCAGTGGCAGAATTCGTTAAAGAAACACGAATAGTTTCCCAAGAATCCGGTAAAGTATTAAGAAGCCAAAGTCTCTTGTATTTCATCATCAAAATTAACACCCATTCCCGATAGCTGATCAAGAATACCCTGAAAATCATTTATACGATCAGAATAGGAGTGTTCTCCTTGTATTTAAAGGTCGTCAATTTCATAAACAAGAACAACTTCTTATTGCCATTTTTTGAAACGTAAAGCGTCTCCAACTTTTCCTACAATGTTCTAGCATGTGTCTCATTCACAATATGGTTGAGAACATTATCTTCAACCCATTGTCTTATATATCCACATACTTGTTGGTGCTCAAATTTCCAATTTTCATCGGTCACATTCTCGGGTTTATGAGCAGAAAAAACCGGAAGATGCATCTTCTTCACGAACAATAGATCTTTCATCTTGCTTTTCCATATGTTGTAGTTTCTTCCGTTTAGAAATATCATATTGCTCATATTCCCCTCTATATAGATAACCTTAGCTCTGATAGCAGTTGTTTTTGTTGACACCCAATTTTTACACTCTCCAATATAAAATAATCATATCGAGCTTCCTAATTTTCAAGTGATTCGAAATAATTAGTCTTATAAATTTCAAATGTATACATATAGTTTTGCAAGTTATAATTTTTTAATAGTTTCATCAAATTTTCTAATTTTTAGATGATATATGTTTTACGCAATCATATATAACTCATAAAATTATGTTTATCCTAAAATCGTTTTGAAAGGATTTTTATTTTGCGTTTAATAGTTTGCTAAATCAATTTACATGTGTTGAATTATTTATTTTATAATTACATCGACTATTTTATTTGTTAAAAATTAAGAAGCTTATTGAATTAATTTATGTTAATTAATTTAATCTAGCTACCAAATATTTAATCCATTTAGACAAAGCACTTTGGGCCTCTTATATTTTAATTTTCAGCATTTCATCTCCCATTTAATTTCACCCATTTAATCCCTTTAATCCAATCTCCTAGGCCTAACATCAATTCTTTAAAAACTTCCAGCCCGTTTTCCCCTTTAACCCGACCCCAACCCCATATTCTACCCAGGGATAGTACCTAATGTGTGAACGATAGTAACACTTGACAATTGCAAGAGAAAATATGACCTGATGCTCCTCTTCTTTATCTCGCATTCTAAATCAGAGTGATGTAGTGCTAGTTTCGTTGTCCCAGGCACGCGCGTTGAGAAGATGTGTCAAACAGTGAGTTGCAGGGACGCAAGGGAGTACCCTACATTTTTTTTCTGTTCTTCTCTCCGTCGCTATCAAATCGTACGATCGACATCTTTAGGAGGTACGCGTTTTGTCCTTGATCATGGAAGATTGCTACACATCATTCTTCAAGGACCGTTGGTCGATCTGAGCCCTCCACCCCAAATTCTATCCGTTCGGAGTAGTGGGATTGGTTGGGGAATATTCGGGACTTTAGAGAGACGTTAGGTTTGGACTCCAATTTTGTGGGCCTTGGAAAATTCAAATTCTTCAGCCCACATTTTCCTTGCCAACCCTAAATTATCAAGTATGTATAATCATTTTCGGTTCAGGGTTGAGGGGATTTTTTTTATGGTGGTGGAAAATTGAGAAAGAAAGGAGAAATCTGAAAATCATGTGACAAATTCATATCAAAATACTTCCGGAAAAGGAGAGGCAATTGTGTTAGCGTTCAAATGCGATATTCTGCTTAAAGTTTTGAACCTGTAGTTCAAATTTGAGTCTTAGTGTCGGAGTTCGCTGCTTGTTTTCCTTGATCGAGTTCTCAGTTCTGCTGCCCAAAAGAAGGTACTGTCGTCTCCTTCTTAATACTCCCTTCACCTCTCTCTGTTTTCTAAGAAGATGATATGTTTCGATGTCGGAAAGTCCTCATTACCTTTTTTTATTTGTCGTGGATTTGTTAATTGTTTTATTTGATATATTTGTTCTTAGATTATTCCATTAGTCTATGTAGTCGAAGTCAAAAAGTCTGCACCTAGTGTTGGCGTTTCTCCGCTACTCGTTTGAGTACTGTTTTCTATTCTCTTTGTGTATTGTGTCTATTCATGCGTATTTGAGTTTATGTCCAACATGCCAGTTTTGAGAATAGGGCTTCTCTGTTTAATTATTTATGGTCATTTATTGTTCATATAATTTGACCGAATAGTTACATCTCTTTTTTAATGATAAGCTAGCATCTGTAGGCTTCTGTAGATAAATTTTATTGTAGTATTTGACATTGATTTCTTGTTAGGTGCAGCCTATTGAATTTTCTTCTAAGATTAATTTCCTAAGTTTGCTTGAATGTTATTTGCTCCTTGGAATAACTTACAGAGATTTACATGGTTTAGTTAGTCTTAAGCATGTACAAATGAGGCTTCACGAGCTTGTGGGTAGACAATTTGATAAAAAAAATAATTTCATTCTTCCTTCTTTGTTGTGACTTCTCTGTTTAAATTGGAATGCAAGTCTTCGAGGCTATCCTCTTGTTGTTTGAAATCCCCCGCTATTTGTCGTGTTATAACAAAGGCTACCAACTGCAGCCACTGGTACACCGAGTATGAGTTGAATTAATCTCATTAATGTAGTTGTTCAAGTAATTTCCTTGGATAAACCTCTTATTATATTTTTGAGAAGATAGATAGTCTCGACTAGATTTTGTTTTCTTGTTTGATTTTTCAGATTTCAGCATGTCTTCATCTTACAAACTGTGTAGATTTTTACGCTAATAGCGTTTGGTTTATCCGTATTCAACATGATATCTCATAGGCATGGATTCACTCTGACTTAAATTTAGTTTGCATAATAAATACGTTCCCTTTTTAGCTCAAATCTGAATGTTTTCTTTTTTCCCCCGTTATTTTAGCTTCTCTTTTGTCATTTGATAAGTTTTGAAAATCTCTAGCTCTAATTGAAAACTCGCATTATTCTATCTGTTTTGATCAAGTCCATGTCATTAATTCTTCTCAAAATAAGTTGTTATATTTCTCATTAAGTGAATATCTAAACTTAGCATAGCATAGCAACTGAACAAACGTGAATCCGTCGTTAAGAAAGGTCATGCATAATTTATTTTTCTCATTACCTGCTGTTTGTTCTTCTGTAATTCAAACTACTGTTATGTTTTCATTAATAAAATCCTTAAATTTGAGTATATGCTATAGTAGTTAGTTTGGTATATTGATGTTAATGGGAAGCCATGCTCATTGGCGTTACTTTTCTATATATATGTTTTTTTTCTTTGTTTTTTTTTTCAAAAAAAAAATAAAAAATAATAGTAATAAAAATAAGTGCAGTTTCTTAATTTGGTCTGCAAGCCTCTTCTTATTTTAGTTTCCTGGTTAGTTCCAACGTTTTTTTTAGTTTGTTTTTTTCTCTTTTATTCGTTTGTTTTCTCCTTCATATAGATGTAAGTCTTCAAGGTCAATTGACATAGTTACGTGTGGTACAATTGCATCTTTGCTTCATTAACATAGTTTTTTTTCTCTTCTCTGCTTATTGTATTCATACTTAGGATGACATGCTTTGGCCTTTCTTTTATTCATACCCTCATTTTGCTTAAAGTTTTGGGTTTATGAAGAATCTACCATTTGCTATTGTGCTTATAAGATGTGATTTTCTTGATCTAAATCTTCTCAAGACGCTCTAAAGATGAGTTTGTTTTAACGTCATTCGTAAGTCAACTCTAAAATTTGCTAAATGTAGCGACTGTACATTAGGTTACCTATCCATGATTTGGGTTCGTTGTATTATCTGGGAAGATATCTTATGAAGTGCAAATCAGATATACTAGTTATTCCTTCCCTAATGTCCATATCTTTCAAGTGTTGGAATTTGTCAAATTTTTTTAGTAACTTACCTATGCCTAAGAGAAGATTTCAGTGGACTAATTTTTGATTTGGAAGCATGAATATGTGTTACATAGCCAATAAAATTGTTGTTGATGTATCGGGTACTGCACCATCATTTTATTTGATTTCTTCGATTTCTTCTTTGTCTAGTTGATCAAGCTTATTTGTAAGTTTCATTATTTATGGATGGAAGCTAATTTATGTCCCTCTATTTTCATGTGACTTCAGGTGAGGTCTTGAACACCAATCACATCCCTCTTGCATTTTAAGAAAGTCATAGAGGCTCAATTTCATTCATCGAGTAAAGCCTTGAAACTGACGAATAGATTCCGAAGTTTAAAAGACTGAAGAAGAAGTTTGGCTTAGGAGATCTTCTATTTTCATTTTGCAGTTTTATTTGTAATGGGCCTAAGCCGTTATCGTCTTTTACTTTTTCGTACTCACTTTGTATTTTTATATGCTTAGTTTAGGACAGGCACGAAACAAAGAAAATGGGTCAAAACCCCAAAATAGGTGGGTCCAAATTTCGGTTAAGGCGAACAGAACCCGGCTTGGACCCAAATCTCTTTTTCTCTCTAGCTCTTTTTTTCCCTCTTTTACTTCATTTAGCTTATCTTTTTATGCATCGTTAGTTTTAAGTTAAGAAACTTCAACTCCCCACTAAACGTTGTTTTGTTTTGACAACTTAAAAGTGAATCAACTTTGAGTAGTTTTCAAAATAATTTCTTCAAGTTAGGTATTTCACTTAATTAAAAGTTAGATATTAATTTTCAAACAACTCTAAAAATATTTCACCGCAATCCTTAGCCAAAAAATTAGTTGTTGGATAACCGTAGGTTAGCGAAATGTCTTAGGTGCTTTCAAACTTTCCTAAGACATCCATATGAATCACCGAACCCCTTTACTTGTTTTCAACAGATTATTTTGTTAAGTCTTTTGAAAGCAATGTTTTCTTAATTTTTTTTAAAAATTAAGTGGCGACTCAAAAAGTCAAAAACTTCTTGAAAAGTAATGTTTTTCTCTTTTTCGATGAAACAGAAATGGTGACTCCGCTGGGGAGTTTGAGAGGATTCTAACCTTAAAAACTGACATTATTTGGCTATGTGTATGTTTGTTTATTTGTTTATTGCTTTATTAAACTGTTTCATTCACAGCATGACATCTTCCATCAAACGACAATCATTCATTCCCACTAAAGGACGATTATGCGGGTTCCAGTCGTTCATTAACCAAAAATTTTCTGGGGGCACCCTGACGAGTGTAGTTGGCTAATTGATAATCAACGATTGTTAATTGTCCCAGCCCAAGTAGTCCGCTTGGGTTACCCTTTCCACTTTAAATACAACCCACTCTTAGTTAAACTAAGATAGAACAAAACTCAATCCCCAAAATAGCGCATTGGCCTAAGACGACCCAACAACCAAGGAGTGTTGGGCCCATTAGAAAGACTGCCTTGAGTCCAAAGAACCCATGGCTCGATAGGACGATCATATTTGTGTGATAAATCTGAAGGATGTATTGTGTGTTTGAATGTTTATGGTGTCGTGGGGAATGACAATTAACTTGTTGTATGCTTTGTAGATGTCGAGTCAGTTCCTTCATTTCAACATAGTCACCAAGACACCAGACATTCTCCGCGTATAGTGGAACAACCTCAAAGATTGTCAAAAGAGAGAAATTTCGATTCACCTGGGTCACTTACCTTCAATAATGGACTTAAAGGTATGGCCCACGTTTATCGAGGTTATCACTCAATGCTAGGACGATGAGAAGATGGTTTTTCAATTTGGAGATCTCAAAATAACGCCCATGCTAAAGGAAATTAGGAATTGTTTGGACTCTATCGGGACATGTGGCAAAAGGAAAAAATGTCCAAATCATCACATCCTTCTTCCAGATAGGCCAACCAGTGAAGAATTGAAAAATATATTATTGCTAGTAAACGCAAACTGGTTGGAAACCCACGATATACCACTAATGAGATTTTTCGAGAGATAGGGGCACGTCAGCCATATTAGGCTATTTTCGAATGAATTCCACAATCACAGTACCTGGAGGCAAACTCAGACTATTGGTTTCTCTGCATGTCTTTTAAAAACTATGGTGTTCCCTAAAGATGAAGGAAAGGAAATCGACACCCGGGTCGTGATGGTAGTGGACGTCGTGTTCAAAGGATTTGGTAGGAAACAAGAAGAAAAGAAGTATTGTAGTTTGGCCTCGGTCATTTTGGCCGACATTTATCAATCCTTAAGCTTGCGTAAAAATGGGTTCCCGTTTTTCCAAGGTTGCAACATTCTACTTCATTGGTGGTTGATTGAGCATCTCTGTAGAAGGGACGGCGCCCAGCCACAGGAGTTGGCCAAACCAAGTCAGACGAGTCCTCTTGACAATTATGTATTCTATCTTAGTGTCCGCAAAATTTCAATTCATGCTACCAGGGATTCGTGGGCGAGGGTATTTTATGATCTGAAAGAAAGAGATATGCAGTGGATGTTACCAAACTTCAAGTCCGAGAGGATAGCAGCACAAGGGGCCAAACTTCCATTTTTAATCCTTCCTGGAATTAGATTGAGGCCCTAAAACCCAGCAAGTGTGACGCGATAATTTGGTAGAATGCAAATCATACTCGTCCAAGGGGATGCTAGCTCTTTTGTTGTTGATTACAATGAGAACGGCAAAATACCTTTCGCTAAGATCATCCTCCAGGAATGGGTCGGACGCGTCAATAAAGTTGGATATGACCGAGAACAGATATGAAATCGGGTATGTCCTCGAATACAAGACATGGGTGAAGAATGATCTGCATGGCATAGTGAATCTGATTCCATGCACATGTCAAGAAATTGAAGACGTACAGACAAGGATGGTTTTCAAATCCATGCCTACCATTTTCAGCAAGAATGGGACCGAAGGGAGCATGGTTTTCAGCAGAAGGAACGAGAATTTCAGAAAACAGTGCAAAAATTTCAACAGAGGGAGTGAGAGTACCAATTTCGAGAGTTAGAAAGTCAGAGGGTTTTAGTTGTGACGTCACAAGAGCTAGCCGATACTAGGGCTTGTCTGATGCATTTGGACACAACCATGGACGAGCAGATGAACACTTTACGAGTCGTACCAACATCTTCCAGAGCTGTGTTTGCCGAGCCGTACGTTTTCACCAGCAAGTGCATCATCCGCGAAGATGTAGAAAAGGCCAGAAGAGGAGCTAAGCCATCAACCTTTTAACTCCCCTACGTGGGATTGTTTTCTATCTGTGTTTGCATCACATCCCTCTTTCTAAATGTACCTCGTTTGATTAAAATTATGTAATGAACGCTATGATATTTAGTCAAATTTATTTTCGGGATACAACTATTTGTTTAAGTGACGCAATACATCCTTCAGATCACTAGGCGTACCCTTGGTATAGAGGGTCACATGCATGATTAGGACGCGATATATGTGTGTTTTACTGCTTATGTGTGTTGCTATGAATGAGGATATCATAAACGCACTCCTATCCATAAATTTCCAAGGAATATACAGAAGCCACTATTACAAAATGTCCGACCAAACTTTCAAGTCTTAAGTTTTTCACTTAAAAGACATCCCCTATACCACAAATCCTAAAACATCCATATTACTGTCTCAGGAAAGGTAAAATCACTGCTATGGACAAGGGTAAGAACATCCAGATAGAAATCACTGAAGAAGAACTGCAGATAAAGATCGAACAGATCACTATGGAAATTCAAGAAACCAAGGATGGGCTTAGAGTCGACATGACCACCGCAATTTACATAGCTGTAGTTGTGACGTTGGATGAGGATCTGGCATCACAAATGAAGAGAAAGAAAGATGTTGAGATGGAGACAGAGGACTTGCGAGAGAAGTTGGACATGCTTCTGTTGAAAATGCAAGAAAGAGAAGAGAGAGAGGCAAGGATAGAATCAAAGACAACCGCTCTGTTAGATAAAAGCATGTCACTTGATAAGGAGATGATAGTGGAAATGGAAGAATTCACCTCCATAAAAGAAAGGATGGTTGCGCTGATGAAGAAGAACAAAATCTTCCATAGCTATGATTGATAAACTTCAGAAAATGGGCAAAAAATACCCCGTCTATGAGCATGGAGCCAATAGAGGTCCCGATAACGCTCACCCTGAAGCGACTAGGGAAGACGACGACGAGGAAATCGTCTACAAACCTCAATTCCTAGGCCGTCTGAAAAGAGGAGACTAATGCTACAACAAGAAAGGGAAGGACTAACGCGTCATCATCATTTTATATTTCAAGAGCTCTACTGTTGCCTTTCAATGTAATGAATGAAAATATTTTCTTTTGTACTCGAACTAGGTTGGGCCCTGAATTCTCCTTGTGAGGTACGTGGGAAGCCTTCTCAGGCTCGACCCCTATCTTTAAAAATTTTCATTTTCCCCTTCATGTTACGAGAAGATACGAAGACCAGATTAACAAATGTCAAAAAGCAGCTGCAAGAAGACCGTAGATCAACATGATTTAGCCTTCCTGAGATAGTGTCAAAACTAAAAAAAACAAACTCCTGCTTGTTAAAAAATGTGTTTCCTTTCTCACTCGTGGGTTGAAGATATCCTCAAACAAAGCAACTTGTGTGTTTATCTGCTCTCTGTGTGATATTTTGCATTTTGTACTCTAAATCTGCACTTACAAATCTGCCTTTGAGTTGTTTTCCTTCTCAGGTACTTTGATATTGATCTGTGTCGATCAAAAGCTGGCTAATCATCCTTATTTCACCAGATCAAAAGGTCCCGCAGATTCCTTCCCTAGACAAAGCTCTGACAGAGGAAAGGCAGTTATAGGAATAATAATGAAGAAGTGAGTCTTACTGATGTTGTGGTGGCCCAACCCACCGTAGCAGAACATAATGAGTTGATTATGCAGCTGATGCAACAGATTGCAGAGATGAGAGTGGAAATGCAATGGAGACAGGATCTACCTCCACCTGGATTTGCTTCTAATGCTGCTGATGGAAGGCCTCCAATCTACTTCCCTTCCTCAAATATGGATCCAACTCAAAAACCAGCCAGCTACACCTGTTTAGAATCCGTCGGTTATAGATTTGACTACCCAAAATCCATAATATGCTTCAGCATCCTACCAAACTCCATCTCTTCTTCAAAAAAACCATCCCCAAATACCACCCTATCCTCAAAATACTCACCACCAGACCACTCCACCGCCACAAAATCAAAACCAAAATCAAAACACGAATGCTTTCAATTCCCAAACACCCCACCACCACTTAAAGAAAAACAACAATCCTCAGGCCTACCCACAGAATTACCAAACCGCCCAAAATGCTCAAAATCCCTCTGTAGCTCCACCCCTACCAAAGAGAGACACTTTCCAATTTCCCGTCCCTGTCGAGCACGATGTGCATGGTTTTGAGTTGGTCCATTACGAGGAACAAGAAAAGGAATGGAGGGAAAAGTAAGATGTAAAGGTCGATATAAAAAGAAGAGATCAAGAAGGCCATGAAGGAGATCCAATGCATCCCCGACATCGCTGGACTTAGTTATGAGGACTTATGTATCGACCCAAATTTTGACCTTCCAGAAGGGTTCAAGATTCCAAAATTTGA